TGCCTTCAGTCCCTCTCGGCACGCGGCCCTCCGGCGTCAAGGAGCGACGACCGCCCTGATGGCATTCCAGATCTCACTGAGGCCCAGCACATGTTCCTTCGTGGCGAAGATCTGTCTCTTCGAAGAGAATCCATTCTCCTCATTATATTGGAGGACCAGCTTCTCGAGCAGGGTTCCCCACTATGTTCACTTTCATTCATGCATGTACGGCGTACGGCGCCTAGAAAGAAGTGTACTACCCTTGCTTTTTTGGGTTGAGGGATCTCTCAAAGCTTCACAGGGAGTGCGACAATAGCCATGAGCACAAACCCTGGGGTTGGTCATCAGCGCTCGAGGGTCGCATACCCTCCGAAGCTATGCCGCGAGGTTTCCAAGATTCTAAAGGAAGCGGCACAAACTCAGGGCCTCATCATGCCGCCCCTGGACCTGGAGGCCGCCGCTCAGCTACCAGAGACATCCGAGAAGGTGTCCAGATATCTGGCTATGGAATTTCCACCAGGACATCCTTTCCAAACTTCGTGCCCGAATACAGAACCACTCTCAAGGTCAAGATCCCCAGCACTTCTTGTGTATGAAGGTCAAGGACTTTATCTCCTTTCCGGTGGTGACGCCACAGGTCACAGGTGACAATTCCTGAGGGTTCTCGCTTGTTGGATGTTTCTTATTCAACAGAAGCGAGACCCACAGACATCCAACATCTGACAAACTGTGAATGCACCTTTGGAGTTCCATGGACTCCTGAGGAATTCATGAGGGAGGCGGCGCACAGGGGACACCCTGCTGACTCTGTCTCGGTGCTTCCCAAGGTCTTGAAAGACACGATCTGGGAGCTGGCTGCCAGTGACCCTGCTGCCACAGCAGAGCGAAGAAGCCAGTTCTTGCGCAAGTGGATGGCCGTAGCCGCCGATATACACGATCAAGGAAAGGCTGTCAAGGATTCGCTGGACGCGGGTGTCCTAGGAATCGTCCGGGATAAAAAGACCCTCCTGCTTGATAAGATGATCTGTGAATATCAGCTCAACGACACCGAGGCTGAGATCCCTGTTTCGAACGATCTTCCCCGGAGGTATACCCCTGCCCATGTGCACGAGGATGAGCTGGGCTCGTTGGCGCCGGTTCTCGACGATGCTGCGGTATCCAGAGCGTTAGGGGCCCCTGATGACCTGTCAAAGGAAGTGTGGGAGAAAGCGATTACTGAAGTCTCCAGGGGATGGCTCAAGGGTCCGATGGAGCTGCGTGACCGCGACGCGCCCGAACTGCTCAAATAGGTTCGGGGTGCGTCAGAAGGAGAAGGTGCGATGCGTGGACTGCGTGGATGACATGTCGGCTAGTCTGGTCAATGCCACCACCTTCGCTGAGGAGAGGATCTCTCTCCACTCAGCGGATGTCATGTCTTCAGTGTTAGTAGAGTGGTGTGATGCCAGGGATGAAGCCAGTAAGCCCCGAGACTTGACGGCCAAGAGCTTTGACTTAAAGTGGGCCTTCAAGCAGATGGCAGTTTCCGCTAAGGCGAGGAAGAAAGCTGGCCTTGTCATCAAGGACCCCAATGGAATCCCTAAGGTATTCACTTCCTTGGCGCTCCCATTCGGAGCGACGCAGAGCGTGTACGCCTTCAACAGACTCCAGCAGATGTCTTTGGACACTGGGGGCTGGGGGTACTGGCCTTACGACTCTTTTGGACAGTGTTCTTCGATGATTTCTGTCTCTTCTCAGAGCCAGCTTTAGAGAAGAGTTCGGACCTGGCTGCGAGATCCTTGTTTGATCTACTGGGGTGGGTCTATGATACGTCGGGAGAGAAAAACATTGTCTTCGGCAGGACACTCCATGCCCTGGGGATCGTGGTTGACCTCAGATCCCTCTCCAGGGGTTCGCTCATCATAGGGAACACCGAGTCCGGCTGTAGCCCTCCGGATGGGAAGGGAACTGAAGAAGGACATGAAACGGTCTCAAGCAGGGCGGCCACTGACCTTGAACATGGATTCTTTCGCTGACTTTCGTTAAAAACCTCCGAGTCAGCTTAAGTCGGGTGAGTTCGTGCAGAACGCAGAGCTGCAAGACAAAGAGCTTCTCAAGAGGTGTGTCGTGTTTCCACTTGGCATGCTGCCAGTATAGGGCGAAGGGGGAGAACGGTGGTAAGGTGGTGAATCACCTCTGCTGAGCAGACGACGTTATTGTACCATGGAGGGTGGCTCGCGACAGCGACCTTTAACAGATTCTTTCTAGCCCGAAACGCCGCCCATCGAAGCCTTGAAAGCAAATCTGGAATCCACCTCAAGGGACGATCTAAGCTTTTTGGGGAAATCCGGCACGAATCTCAGAACCCGGCTGCTGGATTGTTCGATCGAGATTTTTGCCAGGTCGTGTCTTCTGCTGGAATTGGTCCGTGGCACCGGGGAACGAGATTGTGGGAAAAAATCGGCTACACAATCCGCTTGTAGGATGCAGGTTGATACGGGCTGCTAAAATGAAATACGCAGAAAGAAATCAGGAACTAGTGAGGGAAACTTTCGGTATGATAATGTCGAATCTTTCAAGTTAGAGTCACCTGCTCATGAGAATTGCATGTGTCGGGCATGCTGTCTAGCACTGGCAGCACAGCGGAGGAGGTATCAACATTTCGAAATTACGATCAGAAACGAATGAGCTGCAAGTGGTAGCTAAGCTGTCGGCAGGCTGGCATTTCATTGTGCTCGCCCCCACTGCTCATTGTTACCCCGAAGCTTTTGGTTCGAAGCCTCGGAAGCGTTTTGCCTCGTTTCAACGACTTTCAGACGCTGGGCCGCCTCTGGTTTGCTGCTGTGGTTCGAGTAAGCTGAGCAGTTTCAATGGAAAGGTATCATTGTGTGGGTTGTGGTGGTGGGGCAAGTGCAATAGGAGGAGGGGCAGGAGGAGGCGGAAGTTGGAGCGTCGCGGATAGCCTGCATGGCTCGTTGGAGGTTTGAAGGTTGCATGTTGAACAATGTAGCAAACGCAATCAGCCATCGCGGTAGTCAAACTTTTCCATCAATTGTTTTCGGTGTCGTCAGTCTGAGTGTATGAGTTAGAGTCAGTTAGAGTACGACGGAGCGAGAGAAAAGTCGACAATAAGAGTCGCAATGATAAGTATCATCATAAGAGGCATGGAAATCGCAACAAGGATCGTATTCTTCGCGGAACCTCTTTGGTAGCAGCTGCATGTGGATGGTCCTTTTTGACCTTAGATGGCTGATGAGCGCACAGAAGAAAAGCCTGCATAACCAATCTGATCCCCAGACAATGCAGCGCTTCCGACCTCAGCGCCTGGCCGCAGCGGTGCGGCACCAGGCCACAAAGAGCGGCACATGGCTGGAGGTGCTTCGGCGAGTGGGGCAGCCTCAAAGCTTGCGTTTTGTTGGAGATTGCGGGATCCTTTCTGCAGCGGACTTCTGCGGGGCCTTTGGGTGCATTCACAGGAAGCTTCAGAAAGCCCGACGCCGATTCTGGATGAACAACACATCACCATCAGTATTTCATTTTCGGCGTTCCGGCAGGCAGGTTCAGAACGGCAGTTGGTGACTTTCTTGACAGTTCTGGTAAGGCGCAGATACATTTCGTAATGACATACTGGGATGCTCCACAATGGGGTGGGGGTTCGGGATCTGCCATTGTGACATATTCATCGTTTTTTGCTTTCGTGCCCGTAGGTCTCATCCAACCTCATCCACCCGTTTGCTGTTTGCCAGGGTGAGCTGAACTTGGACACCAACATGGTTCACGCTACTTGTCTTTCAGGCGGTTCAAGTGACCACCCTGCAAAAGCATTCCCCTGCAGGGGCAGGAATGCTACTGGTGTGTCGTCAGCTCGCACTCCTAGCAACACAGAGCCGGCAAAACGAAACCGCTCAAGGGCGGACATCGCTCACCAAGCTCCCCAGCACCGCAGCCAGGAGTGCCTGTGAAGCTTCGTCAAAGCGTGGAAGGTCCGAAAGCCCGAAACCACAGGTCCCGAAGCCAGTTGCATGTAAGAACCTCGAGCATGATCCTAGTTCGTCTTCAGCGTGGCATGTTTTTGCGCAGCCACAACCACAGCACTCCTTGGAGTCTCAGACCCTAAGCATCCCAACACGCCATCGCTGAGATGCTTCAATATCCCAACCTTGCAGACCTTGCATGTCCAAGGCCGCAGTGACCCCGGAACCAAAGAGCGGTGCCCCGACGGCATGAAGTTGTTTTTTTCTGTGATGCAGGGGTTAAGGTTGAAGGCTTGGGATGGCATGTTGAGGCAGCCGTGGCCTGGCCGTAATGCGAAGTTCCGTGCGGGTTCTAGGGCACTGTCGTAATTACAGGTTCTGGTGTGTTTTCTCTAGCAGTCCCCCCCATATTGAGCCGTCCTTTGTGCTCTGAAGCATGTCCTGCTACGGCCTCCACGGAGCTTCTCTTTGCCATCGTCGTCTGTGCTGCAGCTTCTTGCAGTTTGTCCCTGTCCTCATCGTGAATGCTTGTGAATGCTATCGTGCTACCATAATGAGTTAGAAAGCTTCAGTAGTGCTGTTGTCTGTGCGACTAGCCCACGGAGGAGCATTGAGGTCAGTGTGTGACGGTGTCTGATGTTTACAGGCGCAAGAAAAGCTGTTGGAGGGTTTGTTTTCATCACACGCCGCCTGAGTACCTCCGACCTCTGTGCGCAGACATGTAAGAACCCAGCGTCGTCTTTGGTACGGCACCCTGAAATATTGAACCTTCGACATTCTCGTTTCTCCAGGTGCTATCCTCACCCCCCTCTTCCTGTCCACCACCTTCATCCAGGACCTGAGCTTGAGAGTGCGTTTTTGCACGGTGTACGGTTTAGGGCTTAGGAGGTAGTCGATGTTTACATGGTGTTCGAATGCCCAGTCAGGATCCATCTCATGACCGGTTTTCGGTAAGTGTACCAGGCGTCTTGCTGTGGAGTGCTAGGGAACTCAGCAAGCTTCATCAATCTGTTCCAGCCAGAAGGTCGTCGCTACTTGCATCATCTGCATAAGCAGTCTCGCCCGGTGAAGGAGTCCGTTGAGAAGTACCTGGACAAGGCCCCTGTAGGGTTCGAGACTGGGAGATGGTCCCTAGCTGAATTCTTATGTCACCCACAAAAAAACGGTTCAAAAACACGTGGGTAGGCTGCCTTAACCGGTTTTTTTGTCCCACTGCTCACAACTTCCTCCTCGGCCGGGTTTTCTGATGGCTTCAGCAGCTGTTGTACGGTGTGACAAGCGCAGCATCCCTGGCAGGGTTACAGCTACTCCCGCACCAACAACCCCACCGTGACGGCACTGGAAGAGAAGCTGGCCAAAGTGGAGAACGGGCGCCCCGGGCTTTCCATGAACGACTCTTCTCGACCCTGTGAAGCTGAGTAAACGCCTTAAACGCCCAAAACTCCCGGAGTCCCTCAAGCTCCTTGTGGCAGCTCTGAGGTCCTGAGGGGTAAATCCTGAAGCCTTGGTCCGAAGCCCTTAGCCTTAGCCTTAGCCCCTTTTGAACCCCCTCCGATCTGCCAAAAGGGGAATGGCATTCAAAGGAGGTGGTTGAGGCTTTCGGGGTTTGGGTTCTCCATAGGGTTTCGTCAAAGCCCATGCAAGGTTTGGTTCCTCGGCATTCGGCACCGGCATGGCCGCCACCACCAGTGCCATCTCTGCGACCATGCAGTGCCTAGTCTGGGATAGTGTTCTGTGTCGATGCTCGAAAGAACTCTTCAGGGATGTAGCAGACTTGAGTTTTGCAATGCTTCTCTTCGAGCCTTTGGCCCAGGCCGGTAACCGGGGACCTCCGGCTTCTCTCTCGTAGCTTGAGCACGTAGCTTGGGCACCAAGGCTCAGTCTTCTTTCGGGATTGCCAGCGTTACTTTGGTGTTCCCATGGAACTGAATAGGAGCACTCTCTGGCGGATTGAGCCCGCCAGCACATTTCCATGGCCCCATTCAGACCTTCGTGTGCTCGTGCAGGGCGGGTGATCACTGTGTGTCCTGGCTGCATGGTGAATGTGTGTGTGTGTGTCTCTGTGTGTGTGTGTGTGTCTGTGTGTGTGTGTGTGCCCGCGCTGTGAAGCGCTATCCCGCGGCTGCCAGTGTTGGTCATCAGGACCAGCAGTCAAGATCATAAGCACGGACTAAACAAAATGCATGCACACCATCACAACTTGGGACGCCCGGCGTGGCTGGTACTGACAGGATGTTGGGTCGGTTCTCTCTCTTCCTCTGTCCCTCTCTCTCTCTCTCTCCCGCTCCTTTTCTGTGTTGTGTATGTTGTTGTACCATTGCGTAGATGCCCCACGATCCCGAGACCACATTACACATTGATGTATTCCTTGAGTACTCTCGGTTTGTCATGGCCGCGTGTTTCCTGCAGGTCATCTCGGACTGCTCCTACGGAGGCACCAACAGGTGCGCCCCGTAACGGGAGGCTTGTGAGGGCCGTGGCAGCCCTGGGCTTTCGAAGCCCAGGGCTGCCACAAGCTCACCACAAAAACACGCAATGTTCAAGAAAAGCCAAAAGGAGCAACTGTTTTAAGCAGATTCCCCCCGGCCACGGTGTCTAGAGCTCCTCGCATGCCACGCCCAACTGTTAGACTTAAAGTTGTAGGATCGTCACGGAAACCTTCCTTTGTCGACCCCTTAAAGCAACCGTAAAAACCCTTGCAAGACTAAGCTTGCAACACGAAAGGGTGGGAGGGTCCGTGGGTCTCTGCGGCGAGGTCCTGCAGAGAGTTCTTTACGCCTTTGAACATGGAGCCTCCCGGCGGGCAGGTCTAGAGTTTGGGGGGGGGTCAGAGAGAGTTTCGGGTGCTTAGGGCTTTGGGTTTTAGGGGAGGGTGTTGTGATTAAGGGGTGAGAATTTGCGCTTCAAGGTCTTCGGTATCTCAAGGCATGTGATGCATCTCGAATTGCTGGGCAAAGCAGAGGCTGAACAGAGACACATACTGACAGCTGGGATGGCGCTCATCAGGGTCTTAGCCTTGGATTCACGATTCAAAACGATTCACATACCCTTGCGTTTCTTCGAGGGGCTTCAACTCACATGCGCAGGCCCGGGTGGCTATTGAAATGTGCTGAGGAAGCTAAAAGACGAAGACACTGCTCCTCCCTAAGCACAAAAAAGATTGGAAAATGCCCGCCCCAGCGGCCATGTCCTCAGGTTCGACTTCGTGGATTTCCGGGATCCGGAGAACGTCAAGAAGGCATCTTAAACTCGGAAGCTCTTGCTGGCATCCAGCTCCATTCCCAGGTTTAGGTGCCATTTTCTTACCTGCTGCTTGTGTGCCAGGCCATGAAGCCCAATACCAAGCTTGTGTTCAGTGAGACCCCGGCCAATCCGGTTTTGCGCGGCCCCTAGATGTTTGTGGCAGTGTTTTGTTAGCGTGCCGAGGCACTGCGTTCGGGTGAGAGGGAGTGAATGCCGGGTGTTCTCGCGTTTTGTGGGTGTGTAAAACACGTGCTCGTGCAGGGTCCGGTGGCTGCGTCTGTGAGCTTTCGCAGCAGATTCAGTGCCTCTTCAGCTTCGTATTGCAAGTCTGCCAGAGTTCATAGGGGCCGCTGTCTTCATCGCCAGTCATACGCGAACAAAGGGGGCGTCACAGCAAAACTCGAAGTACGAGCCGAAGCCTCGGATCTTGATAGGGAACAGCCTGGAGCCAGGTCCCTCACTGACATCGAGGCCGTCTCCAAGATCGCCCACGAGGCCTCAAGCAAGGGGCCCTTTGAGAGTCTCGAGAGCCTCCAGAAGGCTCGTTGTTTCGGCAACACCGCTGATCTTCGACAAGTTTGCGGCAAGTTTTTTCCGCACGCTTCTGGCTTGCCCTCTGTGCTTCAATCCGATGCTTACTGGTAGCTTTGTGAGAGGCGGGGGCCAAGCACGTCGTGGATGCGACGTTTGCCACGCCGGTGGGGTTCTCTGCAGATCGCATTCGGTGTTTCTTGAGCTGCTTACTTGGGGTTTGCGCCTTTGAGCATCCAGGGTTGCGTGCCGTTAGTTGGCAAAACCCCCCCCCCAAAGGAGAGTAAACTCGGACCCAAGCCCAAAAAACCCTTTGCACGCCCCAAACCCCAGAAAAACCGTCAAACGAGACCCGACGCTGCGATCAGGTCATCTGCCGTCCCCTCGACTGGGGAGCGGACATGGTGCCCCTGGAATGCATTGGCCGTGCGTTCCGACCCCTGAAGCATAAACCACCAGACCCTTAAAGCCTGAGCCTACGCCCCAAAGCATAGAGCCCGGAAGCCTAAGACATCTTGTTGTGAGAATTTCAGGTTTTGAGCTGAGATGATGGCATTTGGTGGTTAGCTTCGCGGTTTGGCTGGAGTCTGGTCCAAGGTAGCCGGAGTGGTTTGTGGTTTGTGAGCCGAGAGCCCTAAACCCGAAGCTTCAGCCTTGCGACTCCCGCAGTATCCTGGAGACCCAATCCCAAACTCCAAGCTGTCAGCACTGCGCTTTTGCACAGGCTTATCAATACTGGAGGTCCCCAGTTACTAGAGAGAGCTTGTTTGAGGGGTTACGTAAAAATGGCGTTTGCTCTAAACCTTGAATCCTCGACCCGAAGCCTCAGACCATTCTGCTGATCTCAATTCCACGGGTACCCCCTGCAAGTGCAGCAGCGCCTGTACTCAAGTATCAGTTGTTTGCAGCTTCGGGTGCAGGACGATAAGCCAAGATAGGGGCGAACACTGTATGGCACGATCGGTCTACCTGCTTCCTTTTTCCCCGGGCTGCTCGAGTAAACTAACTTCGCAGAAGACCAGCACTGCAACTGTGTCTGAGGCGTCACAAAAGAGGATATCTCTTGCATCCGTCCCGCTTCCCCGGCTTAGTGACTTGAAACTCCCCTGTTTATAATTCCACAATCTGTGCCATCCTCCGCGTCATTCTGCAATGGCTCCAAGCCATCTTGCTTTCGTCGTCTCGCTGATTTCATGTCTTTGTCTTCGACTATTCTCCACCGATAACCCATCCGGTAGTAGAGCTCCAACTCTTTTGCAGCGCCAGCCTTGGTCAACGAGTTGGCTAGCTGAGCCTCGCTGTGTACCCAGCGGACTCCCAAGCCCGTCTGTTGCTGTGAGGCCTTAACTGCAAGCAGTTCGATATTAGCGCGCTTCGCTGCACCCTTGATCGTCAGCACTTCCGTGTTGAGTTTGTCAAACACATTCCTGGAGTCCGAAATCAGACACCCTGGGACCCGCCTGACTGCTGCTTCAGGGTCCTTGACGTCAATCTGTCCGTAGGCCATCTCGCTCCACTGGTACCTTAGGTAAAACAAGGTGTCCTCCCCGTTCACGGCTGCCTGAGTCTCGGCAGCGCCCGGGCTCCGGCAGGCTCTGTCGATTTTGTGGCTGCTCCACGACAGTGGGGATACATCTTGTACCTCGCCCTTCTGAAGTCCCATCGTGCTCATGCCTACGAAGACTCCCTGAGTAGACCCACCAGACTACCAGCATCCACCCAAGCGACATGCACAACTCGTCCTGCGGGGAAAAAGCGTGTATCTTCATGACATGCTGTTTCTTCGCTCGGGTTTGGGCAACTAACAAGTTTGTCCTAATAATCGTGTTGACAGTGCTCTTGCTCACCTCGGACAACAGCAAGCTGGTTTCAGCCGCAATGTGCGGCGCCACTTGTTGCCCATGCCAGGACAGTGCTCCCAGCGCTGCACGAAGCTGGGACTTCTCACGATCATTGGTTTCTTGTTGCTTGTCTTTTCGCCTAGATCCGCTCAGGGGGATTTATCCCAGGTTCGACGTAGGGAATCTGGCTAAGTTCAACGCCCTGTTCAGTCTGCTTCACCTGAACACCGCACTGTGTGAAAGCACCCGACTCCCAATCTCCCCATTTGAACTTGGACCGAATCTTTTCTAAGATGCCCTGCCATTCGCGATCTTGCTCACCACCGCCAAACAAGAAGTCGTCTACATGTCCTGAAATCATGCCTCGTAGTTCTCCGGCCGGACGCCACAACCACAAACAAGGATCTGACCATGATTTCTGTAGGCCTAGACTAACCAAATAGTCTGAGACTGTCTTGTACCACTCCAGTGGAGCATCCACCAGTCCATAGCACGCCTTCTTCAAGCGAGTGATTGAACCACGTGGTATCTGCATCGCGTGCACATCGAGAGGCTGCTGTCTCTGAACCGGCCAGCCGTTGCACGGCTGTTGATATCGTGCTGTTGGGGGCACAGCACACCTCCGTGAGCAAGGTCCGGTCCTGGCTAACAAGACCCTGAAATAAGCCTGGGACTAAGGACCAGGCCTTCTCTTCTAAGGCTTTGGCAGCTCCATAATTAAGTTCCTGACAAGTGGTGTCTTTGACGGGCCCGGACCTCACTGCCTCGGAGCTCTCCCGTGTCCGTGGGGGACACTCATCGCTCACTTCCGCTCCGAGACCTTCTCGAAGCTGTGGTCCGAGCTCATCTCGGAGTCCTTGTGCGTCTCTCGGCGTGGTCGGCTGCCACGCTTCTCGCTCTGTAGCTCGGCCACTTCTGATCGTAGGGCCTGAGTTGCTGCCATCATCTCGTTCATCACTGTGGATCCGGCACTGGACGAGGCTGCCGACCTGGTTGTCTCCGGCTGCCGTCCGCTCTGCATCTCTGTCTTCTGGCAGCCCGCCTTGGCTTTGGCGCTCTTCCAGACTGGCGCCATTCTGGTACTCGGTGTCGATGTCGTTGTGGTGTTGCTGGCTGCTCCACTCAACCATTGTGCGAGCCGACGTGGGCAAGGGTTTGCCTGGCCCTCGCGAGAAGTCTCCGTGACCCACTTGCAGTACTCCGGGTGCTCCCGGTGTACTTCCATGTAACTCAGGGACCCGTACTGGCCGAACCCGACGGGATCGGTCTCGTGGGCCACTGATACATCGTAGATCTTGCTCAAGGACATGTTGGTCAACTGGAGCACCGTGGCATTCTCTGGCGCCCGCAGACCCAACCGTTTGTCCATGAACTCGATCAAGTCCTTCTTCCTTCCGCTGGCTCGGTTCATTTCGGTGGTGTAGCGCTGGTAGTCGGTCTCCACACGGGCACTGCTGCTGCCACCCGCGTCGGCACCAACCTCCTCGTCGATCATCTGCTGCAGCTGCGTCTGTAGCTCCAGTCGGCGCGTGGTCATCTCGGCCACACCTCCTCGCGTGCGGATGGCCTCCACCAGCTCCGTCTTGTTCATCTTCGAGATGGAGGGCATGTTGGCGCAGGCGAAGTCGGTCGGGAAGGTGTAGTCAAAGAGCTCTTGGGTTCTGGATGGCTGCTCACTGCTGACTTTGCGGACTCTGACGACTCAGGTTGTGGAATTGAACAAGCTTGACTAACATCCCTATCAGCATGCACACTCAAAGCGTCACTACTCCGGGGAAGCTGTTCATGTACACCTGATATCTTCTCCCTACCTGCAAAAAACTTTGTGTCCTTCCGTGGGCCGGCAGGCTCTACGCTCACTGGAAGGCGCTGTCCCTACTCTGGGGTTGCGACCAAATCTCGTAAGCTGCTAACAGCATGCTTCGTCGGAAGGGCATGATCCATTAGATCATCTGCCAGGGAGATAAGTTGGTGTCCTGTCGAGGATCTGGAAAGTGGAATCGCTTTCCGATCGTCCAGACCTCGGAACACTACGAGATCAGCCTCGAAGTCCAAAACGGCCTTTAAACGCCGCAACGTATCGATTGAGAGAAGTATAGGCCCATGACCGCTCTTCAACGAATGAACCTTCAAACGACCCTCATTACCTCCAGCTCTCTATTATCGCATCTGTGCGGTCGAAAGGCATCTCTCGACGCTTGAGTTTCCGAAGCTAAACACAGGCTTGTTGTCGGGGTCCAGCGACAAGACTCCGTCCTGTATCAGCGCCTCTATGGCTGTCACACTGCCAATGGTCTTGGTCGCCCCGCGTCTCGGTGTCCGAGGCGTTGACGGCTTGAAGGTCCTCCCGGAGCTTCCGGGATATCCTGTCTTGTAGTACTTCCGGGATAATCGAACCTCATTCTGCTTGGCACGTGCCTCCCGCAGAGTGCGGCGGTGCTGCTGCGTGGCCGCAAGTGCCTCCTGCACTTCACTCTCCGCCTCGGCCATCATTGCCAAGCCTTCTTCGCTCATCCCTGCCTCCCGGAGCCCGTCGCTCTGGAACGCCTCATGGACCTCATCCATCTCTGCGTCCTCCACAGCCTCGCCCATGTAGCTGCTGTGGCGGTGTGTCTTGTCTCGGCGAGCCAGCTCGGTTTCCGGCCACTGGGCTCGAAGTTCGGCCGCCACTCTCTGTAGATCAAAGTTCCCCTGTAGCGCGGTCTGCGCCAGGTTTCTTTCATGCACATCCAGTCCAGAATCTTGCAGAAGAAACCATCCTTGCAGGAATGGCGGAAT